TCTGGGCTGGTGGAGACGTCGTCGACTTCTGGGCTGGTGTAGACGTCGTCGACTTCTGGGCTGGAGGAGACGTCGTCGACTTCTGGGCTGGAGAAGACAACGTCGACTTCTGGGCTGGAGGAGACGTCGTCGACTTCTGGGCTGGAGGAGACGTCGTCGACTTCTGGGCTGGAGGAGACGTCGTCGACTTCTGGGCTGGAGGAGACGTCGTCGACTTCTGGGCTGGAGGAGACGTCGCCGACCTCTGGGCTGGAGGAGGAGACGTCGACCTCTGGGCTGGAGGCGTCGACCTCCGGGCTGGAGGCGTCGACCTCCGGGCTGGAGGCGTCGACTTCCGGACTGAAGGCGTCAACTTCTGGACTGGAGGTGTCGACTTCTGGACTGGAGGAGTCGACTTCTGGACTGGAGGCGCCGACTTCTGGAGTGGAGGCGCCGACTTCTGGAGTGGAGGCGCCGACTTCTGGACTGGAGGCGCCGACTTCTGGACTGGAGGCGCCGCCGACTTCTGGAGTGGAGGTGCCGCAGGAGGGGCCGCCAACTTCTTGAGTGGAGGCGGAGCCGCTGCAGACGGGACCGCTTCCCTGGCTGGTGCCGCCGGACTGTGCACTGACAACTGGACAGGCTGGCCCGGGGGCAGAGCCTCTTGGACAGGCTGGCCCGGGGACGGAGCCTCTTGGACCACCGCGGGACCTGGCGCTGACTGGACGGCTGGCGCGGGACCTGGCGCTCACTGGACGGGTGGCGCGGGACCTAGCGCTGACTGGACTGGTGGCGCGGGACCTGGCGCAGACTGGACTGGAGGCGCGGGACCTGGCGCTGACTGGACTGGTGGCGCGGGACCTGGCGCAGACTGGACTGGTGGCGCAGGACCTGGTGGAGCCGGTAACTGGAAAAGCAGGGAGGTTAGATTGTCCACCAGGAGCTCCTGGAGACTGAAAATCTGACGGAGTCAGACCAGCTCAGCTCGGAGACCGACGAGCTCTGTTGGATGGGCTGTGGGTTCGGTCCTTTGGCCTGGAGACGAGGGAGCTGCTGACTGGACCGAAGGCGGAGCCGCTGGCTGGACAGAAACCTTCTCCTGGAGATACGAGGAGGATAGGGTGTCCAGCTGGAACTCCTGGAGGCTGATGAGTTGACGGAGCCGGTCAAGCTCCACTTGGAGGCCGGCGAGCTCCGTCTGATGGGCTGTAGGCGTGGCCCCTCCGCACCTGGCGAGGGCAGGACCGGCGGTGACCGGAGGCAGAGCCGCTGCAGGGGTAGACTCGGCAGGTAGAGACGCTGGAGGAGACGTCGTCGACTTCTGGACTGGAGGAGACGTCGTCGACTTCTGGGCAGGTGGAGACGTCGTCGACTTCTGGGCTGGAGGAGACGTCGTCGACTTCTGGGCTGGAGGAGACGTCGTCGACTTCTGGGCTGGAGGAGACGTCGTTGACTTCTGGGCTGGAGGAGACGTCGCCGACCTCTGGGCTGGAGGAGGAGGAGTTGAACTCTGAGCTGGAGGAGGAGACGTTGACCCTTGGGCTGGAGGCGACGTCGACGTCTGGGCTGGAGGCATCGACGTCTGGTCTGGAAGCGTCGACCTCTGGGCTGGAGGCGTCGACCTCCGGGCTGGAGGCGTCGACTTCCGGGCTGGAGGCGTCGACTTCCGGGCTGGAGGCGTCGACTTCTGGACTGGAGGCGTCTACTTCTGGACTGGAGGCGTCGACTTCTGGACTGGAGGCGTCGACTTCTGGACTGGAGGCGCAGCCGACTTGTGGAGTGGAGGCGCCGCCGACTTCTGGAGTGGAGGCGCCGCAGGAGGGGCCACCAACTTCTGGAGTGGAGGTGGAGCCGCTGCAGACGGGACCGCTCCCCTGGCTGGTTCCGCCGGACTGTGCGCTGACAACTGGACAGGCTGGCCCGGGGGCGGAGACTCTTGGACCACCGCGGGACCTGGCGCTGACTGGACGGGTGGCGCGGAACCTGGCGCTGACTGGACGGGTGGCGCGGAACCTGGCGCTGACTGGACGGGTGGCGCGGGACCTGGCGCTGACTGGACGGGTGGCGCGGGACCTGGCACTGACTGGACGGGTGGCACGGGACCTGGCGCTGACTGGACTGGTGGCGCGGGACCTGGCGCTGACTGGACTGGTGGCGCGGGACCTGGCGCTGACTGGACTGGTGGCGCGGGACCTGGCGCTGACTGGACTGGTGGCGCGGGACCTGGCGCAGACTGGACTGGTGGCGCAGGACCTGGTGGAGCCGGTAACTGGAAAAGCAGGGAGGTTAGATTGTCCACCAGGATCTCCTGGAGACTGAAAATCTGACGGAGTCGGACCAGCTCAGCTCGGAGACCGGCGAGCTCTGTTGGATGGGCTGTGGGCTCGGTCCTTTGGCCTGGAGACGCGGGAGCTGCTGACTGGACCGGAGGCGGGGCCGCTGGCTGGACAGAAACCTTCTCCTGGAGATACGAGGAGGATAGGGTGTCCAGCTGGAACTCCTGGAGGCTGATGAGTTGACGGAGCCGTTCAAGCTACACTTGGAGGCTGGCGAGCTTCGTCTGATGGGCTGTAGGCGTGGTCCCTCCGCACCTGGCGAGGGCAGGACCGGCGGTGACCGGAGGCAGAGCCACTGCAGGGGTAGACTCGGCAGGTAGAGACGCTGGAGGAGACGTCGTCGACTTCTGGGCTGGTGGAGACGTCGTCGACTTCTGGGCTGGTGTAGACGTCGTCGACTTCTGGGCTGGAGGAGACGTCGTCGACTTCTGGGCTGGAGGAGACAACGTCGACTTCTGGGCTGGAGGAGATGTCGTCGACTTCTGGGCTGGAGGAGACGTCGTCGACTTCTGGGCTGGAGGAGACGTCGTCGACTTCTGGGCTGGAGGAGACGTCGTCGACTTCTGGGCTGGAGGAGACGTCGTCGACTTCTGGGCTGGAGGAGACGTCGTCGACTTCTGGGCTGGAGGAGACGTCGTCGACTTCTGGGCTGGAGGAGACGTCGCCGACCTCTGGGCTGGAGGAGGAGACGTCGACCCCTGGGCTGGAGGAGGAGACGTCGACCCCTGGGCTGGAGGCGATGTCGACGTCTGGGCTGGGGGCGTCGACGTCTGGGCTGGGGGCGTCGACGTCTGGGCTGGAGGCGTCGACGTCTGGGCTGGGGGCGTCGACGTCTGGGCTGGAGGCGTCGACCTCTGGGCTGGAGGCGTCGACCTCCGGGCTGGAGGCGTCGACCTCCGGGCTGGAGGCGTCGACTTCCGGACTGAAGGCGTCAACTTCTGGACTGGAGGCATCGACTTCTCGACTGGAGGTGTCGACTTCTGGACTGGAGGCGTCGACTTCTGGACTGGAGGCGACGACTTCTGGAGTGGAGGCGCCGACTTCTGGACTGGAGGCGCCGACTTCTGGACTGGAGGCGCCGACTTCTGGACTGGAGGCGCCGCCGACTTCTGGAGTGGAGGTGCCGCAGGAGGGGCCGCCAACTTCTGGAGTGGAGGCGGAGCCGCTGCAGACGGGACCGCTTCCCTGGCTGGTGCCGCCGGACTGTGCACTGACAACTGGACAGGCTGGCCCGGGGGCAGAGCCTCTTGGACAGGCTGGCCCGGGGACGGAGCCTCTTGGACCACCGCGGGACCTGGCGCTGACTGGACGGCTGGCGCGGGACCTGGCGCTCACTGGACGGGTGGCGCGGGACCTGGCGCAGACTGGACTGGTGGCGCGGGACCTGGCGCTGACTGGACTGGTGGCGCGGGACCTGGCGCAGACTGGACTGGTGGCACAGGACCTGGTGGAGCCAGTAACTGGAAAAGCAGGGAGGTTAGATTGTCCACCAGGAGCTCCTGGAGACTGAAAATCTGACGGAGTCAGACCAGCTCAGCTCGGAGACCGGCGAGCTCTGTTGGATGGGCTGTGGGTTCGGTCCTTTGGCCTGGAGACGAGGGAGCTGCTGACTGGACCGGAGGTGGAGCCGCTGGCTGGACAGAAACCTTCTCCTGGAGATACGAGGAGGATAGGGTGTCCAGCTGGAACTCCTGGAGGCTGATGAGTTGACGGAGCCGGTCAAGCTCCACTTGGAGGCCGGCGAGCTCCGTCTGATGGGCTGTAGGCGTGGCCCCTCCGCACCTGGCGAGGGCAGGACCGGCGGTGACCGGAGGCAGAGCCGCTGCAGGGGTAGACTCGGCAGGTAGAGACGCTGGAGGAGACGTCGTCGACTTCTGGACTGGAGGAGACATCGTCGACTTCTGGGCAGGTGGAGACGTCGTCGACTTCTGGGCAGGTGGAGACGTCGTCGACTTCTGGGCTGGAGGAGACGTCGTCGACTTCTGGGCTGGAGGAGACGTCGTCGACTTCTGGGCTGGAGGAGACGTCGTCGACTTCTGGGCTGGAGGAGACGTCGTCAACTTCTGGGCTGGAGGAGACGTCGTCGACTTCTGGGCTGGAGGAGACGTCGCCGACCTCTGGGCTGGAGGAGGAGACGTCGCCGACCTCTGGGCTGGAGGAGGAGACCTCGACCCCTGGGCTGGAGGCGACGTCGACCCCTGGGATGGGGGCATTGACATCTGGGCTGGAGGCGTCGACCTCCTGGCTGGAGGCGTCGACTTTTGGACTGGAGGCGTCGACTTCTGGACTGGAGGCGCCGACTTCCTGACTGGAGGCGCCGACTTCCTGACTGGAGGCATCGACTTCTGGACTGGAGGCATCGACTTCTGGACTGGAGGCATCGACTTCTGGACTGGAGGCGCCGCCGATTTCTGGAGTGGAGGCGCCGCAGGAGGGGCCGCCAACTTCTGGAGTCGAGGCGGAACCGCTGCAGACGGGACCGCTTCCTTGGCTGGTGCCGCCGGACTGTGCGCTGACAACTGGACCGGCTGGCCCGGGGGCAGAGCCTCTTGGACAGGCTGGCTCGGGGACGGAGCCTCTTGGACAGGCTGGCTCCGGGGCGGAGACTCTTGGACAGGCTGGCCCGGAACGGAGCCTATTGGACCACCGCGGGACCTGGCACTGACTTGAAGGGTGGCGCGGGACCTGGCGCTGACTGGACGGGTGACGCGGGACCTATCGCTGACTGGACTGGTGGCGCGGGACCTGGCGCTGACTCGACTGGTGGCGCGGGACCTGGCGCAGACTGGACTGGTGGCGCAGGACCTGGTGGAGCCAGTAACTGGAAAAGCAGGGAGGTTAGATTGTCCACCAGGAGCTCCTGGAGCCTGAAAATCTGAAGGAGTCGGACCAGCTCAGCTCGGAGACCGGCGAGCTCTGTTGGATGGGCTGTGGGTTCGGTCCTTTGGCCTGGAGACGAGGGAGCTGCTGACTGGACCGGAGGTGGGGCCGCTGGCTGGACAGAAACCTTCTCCTGGAGATACGAGGAGGATAGGATGTCCAGCTGGAACTCCTGGAGGCTGATGAGTTGACGGAGCCAGTCAAGCTCCACTTGGAGGCTGGTGAGCTCCGTCTGATGGGCTGTAGGCGTGGGCCCTCCGCCTGTAGATGAAGGAGGTGCTGACTGGACCGGAGATGGGGCCGCTGATCTGACTGGGGTGGGTCCAAGCTGGTGTCCCAAGCCGGGGTAGCGGTGAGCCCGTGGTTCCGTCCTGGGACAGGGGTTGACGCTGGAGCCCGGCATCCTTCCCAACACCGTGGGCTAACTCTGGGGGAGCACACTGCCAGTCTGGTGCCCACATAGCAGGAGCGGTCTAGCTGCGTCTCCCAGTCCAACCCCCCAACTGGCTCCGGGAGGGTGGAGAGGATCGCCGAGGCCGGGGTTCGGCAGCGGCGTCTGCGGCGATGCGACGCCGGAGGAGGAGAAGCCGGCCGGTGGTTTGAGGTGAGGAACTGAAGCAGGTACTCCCAGGGGAGAACCTCCCCGCTGGATCCTTTAGGAGTTTGGTTCATTCTGTCACGGCGTGCTGGTGAGTGAAGCGGAGGTGAGGATCCACATGTGGGTGAGGAAGGCAGGCAGATAGACACGAACGTTTAGTATAGTTTAATATAAAAACACGCTGGACACTGAAACAATGAACCAACAAAAGACAAAGAACTGAGAGGGTTTAAATCAGAAACCGTCTCAGGCAAGCTCAACTGCATGCTCGTCGTCCCCATCGGGGTCTTGACCTGACTCCAGCTCGTCACCGTAACAGACTTGAGTGGGCAAATGCTCACATTGAATGGCGTCTGGCATGTTGGAGAGGTGTTGTCTTCACGGTTGAATCTCGGTTTACATTGTTCAGGGCAGATGGCAGACAGCGTGTGTGGCGTCATGCGGATGAGCAATTTGCTGATGTCAATGTTGTGGATCGAGTGGCCCATGGTGGTGGTGGGGTTATGGTATGGACAGGCATCTGTTATGGACGAAGAACACAGGTGCATTTTATTGATGGCATTTTGAATGCACAGAGATACCGTGATGAGATCCTGAGGCCCATTGTTGTGCCGTACATCCATGAACATTACCTCATGTTTCAGCAAGATAATGCACGGCCCCATGTTGCAAGGATCTGTACACAATTCTTGGAAGCTGAAAATGTCCCAGTTCTTGCATGGCCACGCATACTCACCGAACATGTCACCCATTGAGCATGTTTGGGATGTGCTTGACCGGCGTATACGACAGCGTGTACCAGTTCCCACTAATATCCAACAACTTCGCACAACCATTGAAGAGGAGTGGACCAACATTCCACAGGCCACAATTGACAATCTGATCAACTCTATGCGAAGAAGATGTGTTGCACTGCATAAGGCAAATGGTGGTCACACCAGATACTGACCGGTTCTGAGTCCCCAGACCCCTAATAAAGCAATTAACTGCACATTCCTGGGTGGCCTTTAATTGTGGGCAGTATAAGGTACACCTGTGCACTACTCATGATGTCAGATCAGCATCTTGATGTGGCACACCTGTGAGGTGGGATGGATTATCTTAGCAAAGCACAGGTGCTCACTATCATAAATTTAGACTGATTTGTGATCAATGTTTGAGAGAAATGGTAATATTGTGTATCTGGACTGAATTTGAGATCTTTAAGTCCATCTCATGAAAAATCGGAGCAGAAACAAAGCTGTTGCGTTTATATTTTTGTTGAGTGTAGGTTCCTACATCACCTTTAGCTCCATCCATTCACAGTAAATGCTTAGTTCACTTGTCATGTTTTAATTGTTTCTAAAATAAATTCTTACAATTATAAACCTGACTCTTTTCTGAATCAAGACGAGGTGTGTATAATTACTTAATAAAGCAAAAATCCTATAATCTTCTGATATTTACAATAAAGATCAAGTAAGGTAATATTGTATATTTATACAGAATATCAAATAAATAATACACATTTGCCTCCGCTACACAAAGATTTTTTTTTTGTAAACCAATTTTAAAAATATACACTTAACAGATGTATTTTAGGGCAGAATTTTAAAACTAAATTATAACAAATAAATGTATTTTATTGACACTACAGCTGAGTCAATATTTACGTCCTGAAAAAAAGTTTATTTACCTGATCTCGGCACGTTCACTCATGCCCTCAGTCGGATGCTTTCTTAAGAGATGCAGCAGCATGGAAGAAGTGCTGTTGTGGTAGCTCCACCTTGCAATGCTTGCATACAATGGCGTTTTCCTTGCTTTTTAATGTAAAGTGATCCCATGCCTTGGAAAACTTCTGTCGTTTACTATATCCTTCGTTTTGGTCTTGCTCGTTTTCATTTATTTCCATGGCGTCTGCCATTGTCGGCTGCCCAGCTGAAAAGACGAAAAGACCGCTGCGCGCTGTGCAGTAGAGTACATGGCACGTATAATCTGTGACGTAACCGCGTTGCGCAACACATAAAGAATCCATGCGCAATGCCGGATATTCAGCTATGGTCTATTTAACGAGTCCTCGAGGCAGCGGAAAATTCTCGAGTATTTTTTGTCAGCGAATCATTCGAGTTACTCGAGGAATCATTGCAGCCCTAATCAGCATAATCATTTTTAAAGCTAATCAATATAATCTTTTTGAGAATAATCATTTTTACACTTAACCAATATAACCTTTTCTGTTTAAACTAATATAGTCAACTTCAGTCTAATTGCTGTCAGGTTATGAATGTGTTGGTCAATCATTTAATCTTCATATATAAGGAAATAAAACTTTGTCGAAGTGCTGCAGACTAACAGAGATAACGTTCCAGAAAACATTGGTGTTGAAAGTTTCTATAACAATGGCCTGACTCTTACTGCTTGTGGTCAAAAGAAGATCACGAGTTATGTCATGGGGAAGTGTCTGATTGATAAACTTTTGACCTCGTTGCTGAGCCAGAGATCACAAGTTCAGTCTTAGAAAAAGTCTTGGATGTTGAGGGTCAGGGAAAGTCAGAAGGTGCTTTAGACTGTGAACTCATGAAGACCGCTCACATGAGGAGGAGTAGTGTATGACTGTGAAGTGGGAACGCCCCAGTCTATTGTGGAACTGTTGTAAAATTTAAAAAAATTTTTCATGCAATTCAATAAAAGGGCTGACGAGAAGAGTCGAAAGTTAGAAGATACATCGGCAGGGAACTGCTTGTGTTCTTCTCACCAGAAGCCAACCAAAGATCTTTGTGTGTGTACATATTATAATGGGCTTAAAGTAGGGCTGGGCAATAAATCGAAAATGTATCGTTATCGAAATTTCTGACTCTTATCGAGATCATTTTTCCCATGTCAATAAATTTGATAATAAAAAAATGAAAAGATGTGTGTAGCTGGACAACATTCATGTCCCTTTAAGAAGCTGTACCACCTTGAGATGCGTAAAAATGTGACTAAATATAATACATGTGACAGCCCCATCTAGTGGACAACTTACCTGCAGTTATGGTCCATTTATCATTATTGAGGTTAAATCCTCAATATATTGTGATATTAGTTTTAGGCCATATTGCCCAGCCCTAGCTTAAAGTGTGGATCTCTCTTCAGGGTCACCTCCAAAGAACCAGGGAGTGGTTAGATGGAATAATTTCCACCACGACAGCCCCCATAATTCTGGTATGAAAGTGAAGCCAACAAGGAAGAGGCACAAAAAAATGCATTTCCCCCCTCATCCACCAGAAGAGAGCTAATCCTCATCGAATCACATGTCAAAAATGCCAATTTGACAGCAGAGATAAACTGATCAGAAAGCCCTTTAAGCTTTAATAGATCTAGTTAACATTCATGAAAACTCTGAGGGGGCAAATTTTTTTTATAAATTTATAATCATTGCAACCCAAAGTCAGTCCTACCACACTGCTGAATCCTGCCGGTGCTGTTTCCTCAGTGAGGTGCAGTACATCTCGTTCATCACCCTTGGAAAAGGAGATGATGTGTTCTGGTCCGGCTCTCCACTCCCTCGTCGAGGAGACTTCTAACCACAGAATAGAGGCTTTACTATCTAGTACTCAAAATCTATCTTAATGATATTGGCCACAGGCTAAATTCCTTTGAATGGCATGTTTAAAGTATAAAACCTCAATGAAAAATGTTTTTGGATTTTCACGGCTGGAATTTGAAGAAAATCTGATGTTTCTGACTGGCACGGGAAAAACAGAAACTAGCTTCAGGTCTAAGCCCTGGACAGCTGGTGACGTTTCACAGGAGGTCTGAAGAAAAAGCACCTGACTACGATGTTTCTGTGTTAAGAGTTATAGCTGAGAACAATGTGTCATCAGTCAAGATGTAGCTTCTGAAGCCTCTGCTAGTCGGTCAGATTGTTTTTTTCTCTGGGATGATTACCGGAGAAGTTCAACCGAACTCCGACCCCGCTAGCTGGATATCACTACCGGAGGTGCAGACATGTTTTGGACCGTTTGACGCAGAAGACCCGCGACCCGATTTGGACACCGGGAAGGATTCTGTTAGTCTTAAGAACCAAAATCGGTACAGTTTGTTTACTTTTGTTAAATATTTAATTTTTGTGCTCGTACCACCGGGAGCTCTCAGCTGACTACAGGTCTTAACTCCATCATACTGTCCTGATGTGTAATTCAGTAATCTACAGAAAAAAAACAAAATTATGTGCTGCCAATTTTACAGCTGCATGTATATATTAGGGGTTTAACGGTTCGGGCCACTTGCGTACCATTTTGGTTCATTTTCCATTAAATAATGAAATTTTGTTTGCATGATTTAAGTGCAGCAGATCAAAGTTCATAGGCGAGTTTCCGCACCGACGCTGTATTGAGTGACGCATGATGGTTGCACGCACCTGATCTCCGATTAAAAAAGGTGATTTGCAAATTCTGATCAACGTCTTTCTGAGCAGATCAAACCAGCTGGCTGTCGCTGCTACTGTGGAGACAGTAGAGACGCTGAACGTAAACAACATGTCTACTGAACTTTTCCCCCACGGCAGTTGATGTAATGTTTTCATTCTACAACAAAAAATACGATGCGGAGAAAGCTCGTTATTTAACAGGGTATCTGCAGGTTTAAGGGAGCCAAATTTAAGGCTTTTTAAGACCTTTTTTAAGGCCACTTTGACCAAATTTAAGCTATTTTTTAATTATATTTAAGCTATAATTTTCAGCTATTGCCTGGCACTGGTGCTAACCACGTCGCAAACGTGGGATTACCCACCCAGTTACCATTAAACTTTCACTTCCCCATGGTGCAAGCTCCCACTAGCTTAACCAGCTAATGTGCTCATCTAAAAATAGTCCCCTTTCACAACCAACTGAATGTGTACAGTTCCACTTATGCCAATATCATAAACAAAAAATGCTGAACACTAACTACAAATTCTTGTTCATAGGGTCTTTGGTAATTTAAGACATTTGGAAACTGTAATTAAGGATTATTTGTCATTTCTAATGATTTTTAAGATCTTAAATTTAAAAAAGCAAATTTAAAACTTTAAAACTTTTTAAGGACCTGCGGATACCCTCTAATATGAGTTTTAAAGAAGAAAGTGGGCAGTCTGAGGTGAGTTTTCAAGGCTCACTGCAGAAATAAAAACAAGGCGCATCAACAGTCAAGCACGTATGAGAGTGATACTCATAGCTGCGCAAATAAACTGTGAAATATTTAAAGACATCATACTAGATCAGCAGCTTGTGAGGACACCTGGTTCTGCTCACTACAGAAGCCGCTTCAGACAAAAAATAAATAAATATAATAATATACAGAAAACGATTTGTACTGAGCTCTTCAAAACACTGAACCGAATCGAATACGATTTTAGCGTACTGTTATACCTCTAACGATTAGAGACTCATTTATATAGTTTAATAGCAAAAAAGTTGATTTGAGGGTGACTTGCTCTTTAACAAAATGAAAAACTGAACCAAGTTCATATTTATATAATTGGTAAAGTATAGTTACACTGAATTTTTACAATTTTAATGCTGAGTCTGGCCAATACCTTTGATAGTCATATATAGCACATGTACCCTGTATATAGCATGTCAAAGATTACTACTGAGCACAATAAATCTTTACAAAAATCCATTTTTATTACAATGTTTTTCTTTGTAATAATTTCTTCCCAAAAGATAAAAATATAACCTTAAATCAAGGCTGTAAATCTGTTTTTAACAAAAGTGTTTTCACAGATGTGAAGTTTTCTTTAAATAATTAAGTACAGAATCATTTAATTTACCCATTCATAAACAAATCAGGTCTCTGGTTTCATCACCATCTTTTAGCAGTATCGCTGTACAAAGTGGAGGTTATTTGGCAAAGAAAAAATGTTACAGCAAATGGAAAACTCCTATTATGGTGCCTGTCTGGTGACATTTGAGGGGGAAAAATAACTTGCGGCCACGACTGCGTGGCAAGGTCCCCCCCCCCCCTCAATGTCACCAGACTAGCTTCATACTAGTGATTAAAACCAATACATTTTCAACATACTGTCAGTGAACTGGTACTTAAACGTTTTAGCACATAAATAAGTTTTTTCCAACTCAGTTTCACTTTAAGATAAGCTTTTGCTGCTAGTCCGTTAGCGGTCTTAAAACTGCCTACTCACCAAAACGTTCAAAAGTCATCCGGTTTTCTCGACACTCCAATTATCCAGAATGCATCATCTGTTACACAAAAACATTTTTAGGTAAGTAATAGGTAGAAAGGTTAACTTCTGAACTGTTTTTAATCGTAACTTTACCGCACCGTTCCCATTTTTCTGTCTCCTCAGATGTTTTGACGACAAGGTCCTCACACCTGCACATCCACAATAACAAGTACGGTTAAGTTAGACTACAACACATAACTTGTTTTCTTTACCAGTCAGGACTTCCATATTAAAGAAGGCGTGTTTCTGAGTTGTCTTGGTAACATCTTTCCTGTCAGCCTCTGATTGACTGTGAAAATCATAACATAAATTCTTTAAAACTAAATCACTTTGAGTGATTTGCCAGTTCTAGAGAAAGCTTCAGACCGGCCATCTTTAGCATATCTCTTTAATAATCAAAGATTTTGACACATCATCAAAACCTTTTTGCACCTACAAAGCTGAGACAGCAAACAGTTCATGCAGAACAAAGCTGATATTGTTCAACTCCTTAAGAGTTATTCCTGAGACGCAAGCTGATTCCAACCTGTGCTGCGTGGTGATATCTTTTGGACCGGAGAAGTCGGTGCTCGCAGTCAATCTACCGGACCTGGGTGCCCAGAGGTCATCCTGCCTCTCTGACCTCCGAATCCGTGACGAAGGTCATCAAAAGGGTGAGGTAGAACACAGAGATTGCGTCTGAATGTGCTTCTGAAGATAACATCATAGTTTAGAACAAACCAAATTCTTTTTCATCCAGAGACGCCGCTTTCCGAGATTCTGAAGTTCTGACCAACACCGCATTTACACATACACTCAACAAAAATATAAACGCAACACCTTTGTTTCTGCTCCGATTTTCCATGAGATGGACATAAAGATCTAAAATACATTCCAGATACACAATATTACCATTTTTCTCAAACATTGTTCACAAATCAATCTAAATGTGTGATAGTGAGCACTTCTGCATTGCTGAGATAATCTGTCACGGCATGCTGGTGAGTGAAGCGGAGGTGAGGATCCACATGCGGGTGAGGAAGGCAGGCAGATAGACACGAACGTTTAGTAAAGTTTAATATAAAAACGCGCTGGACACTGAAACAATAAACCGTCAAAAGACACAGAACTGAGAGGGTTTAAATACATGAGGGCTGGGAGCTTGGGTGATTGGAAAAAGAGAGGTAGGTGGGAGCAATTAACAGAGACACATGACTGAACAGAATGGGGAAACAGGACAGGGTGTGACATAATCCATCCCACCTCACAGGTATGCCACATCAAGATGCTGATCCGACATCATGAGTAGTGCACAGGTGTACCTTATACTGCCCACAATAAAAGCACCCCCCCCACCCCACCCCACCCCCCAGAGAGCGGATTCCAGACGCCCACAGGAACACAGAGCAGGGCGGGAGGAGGGGGACCAGGAAGGAGGGCCGAGAGGAACCGAGGGACTGGTGGAGAAGAGGCAGGGACCAGTAGGGTCCAGGGGCCTGCGTCTGGGGCAGAGGAGGAGACGGCGACGGGCTCTGAGGGGCCTACGTCTGGGACAGAGGAGGAGACGACAACGGGCTCTGGGGGGCCTGCGTCTGGGGCAGAGGAGGAGACGGTGACAGGCTCTGGGGGGGCCTGCGTCTGGGGCAGAGGAGGAGACGGCGGCGGGCTCTGGGAGGCTCACGCCTGGCGAGGGCAGGACCGGCGGTGACCGGAGGCAGAGCCGCTGCAGGGGTAGACTCGGCAGGTAGAGACGCTGGAGGAGACGTAGTCGACTTCTGGACTGGAGGAGACGTCGTCGACTTCTGGACTGGAGGAGACGTCGTCGACTTCTGGACTGGAGGAGACGTCGTCGACTTCTGGACTGGAGGAGACTTCGTCGACTTCTGGGCTGGTGGGGACGTCGTCGACTTCTGGGCTGGTGGAGACGTCGTCGACTTCTGGGCTGGTGGAGACGTCGTCGACTTCTGGGCTGGAGGAGACGTCGTCGACTTCTGGGCTGGAGGAGACAACGTTGACTTCTGGGCTGGAGGAGACGTCGTCGACTTCTGGGCTGGAGGAGACGTCGTCGACTTCTGGGCTGGAGGAGACGTCGTCGACCTCTGGGCTGGAGGAGACGTCGTTGACTTCTGGGCTGGAGGAGACGTCGCCGACCTCTGGGCTGGAGGAGGAGGAGTTGAACTCTGAGCTGGAGGAGGAGACGTTGACCCTTGGGCTGGAGGCGACGTCGACGTCTGGGCTGGAGGCATCGACGTCTGGTCTGGAAGCGTCGACCTCTGGGCTGGAGGCGTCACCCTCCGGGCTGGAGGCATCGACTTCCGGGCTGGAGGCATCGACTTCCGGGCTGGAGGCGTCGACTTCTGGACTGGAGGCGTCGACTTCTGGACTGGAGGCGTCGACTTCCTGACTGGAGGCGCCGCCGACTTGTGGAGTGGAGGCGCCGCCGACTTCTGGAGTGGAGGCGCCGCAGGAGGGGCCACCAACTTCTGGAGTGGAGGTGGAGCCGCTGCAGACGGGACCGCTCCCCTGGCTGGTTCCGCCGGACTGTGCGCTGACAACTGGACAGGCTGGCCCGGGGGCGGAGACTCTTGGACAGGCTGGCCCGGGGGCGGAGACTCTTGGACCACCGCGGGACCTGGCGCTGACTGGACGGGTGGCACGGAACCTGGCGCTGACTGGACGGGTGGCGCGGGACCTGGCGCTGACTGGACGGGTGGCGCGGGACCTGGCGCTGACTGGACGGGTGGCGCGGGACCTGGCGCTGACTGGACTGGTGGCGCGGGACCTGGCGCTGACTGGACTGGTGGCGCGGGACCTGGCGCAGACTGGACTGGTGGCGCAGGAACTGGTGGAGCCGGTAACTGCAAAAGCAGGGAGGTTAGATTGTCCACCAGGAGCTCCTGGAGACTGAAAATCTGACGGAGTCGGACCAGCTCAGCTCGGAGACCGGCAAGCTCTGTTGGATGGGCTGTGGGCTCGGTCCTTTGGCCTGGAGACGCAGGTGCTACTGACTGGACCGGAGGCGGGGCCGCTGGCTGGACAGAAACATTCTCCTGGAGATACGAGGAGGATAGGGTGTCCAGCTGGAACTCCTGGAGGCTGATGAGTTGACGGAGCCGGTCAAGCTCCACTTGGAGGCCGGCGAGCTCCGTCTGATGGGCTGTAGGCGTGGCCCCTCCGCACCTGGCGAGGGCAGGACCAGCGGTGACCGGAGGCAGAGCCGCTGCAGGGGTAGACTCGGCAGGTAGAGACGCTGGAGGAGACGTCGTCGACTTCTGGACTGGAGGAGACGTCGTCGACTTCTGGGCAGGTGGAGACGTCGTCGACTTCTGGGCTGGAGGAGACGTCGTCGACTTCTGGGCTGGAGGAGACGTCGTCGACTTCTGGGCTGGAGGAGACGTCGTCGACTTCTGGGCTGGAGGAGACATCGTCGACTTCTGGGCTGGAGGAGACGTCGTCGACTTCTGGGCTGGAGGAGACGTCGCCGACCTCTGGGCTGGAGGAGGAGACGTCGACCCCTGGGCTGGAGGAGGAGACGTCGACCCCTGGGCTGGAGGCGATGTCGACGTCTGGGCTGGGGGCGTCGACGTCTGGGCTGGAGGCGTCGACGTCTGGGCTGGGGGCGTCGACGTCTGGGCTGGAGGCGTCGACCTCTTGGCTGGAGGCGTCGACGTCCGGGCTTGAGGCGTCGACCTCCGGGCTGGAGGCGTCGACTTCCGGACTGAAGGCGTCAACTTCTGGACTGGAGGCGTCGACTTCTTGACTGGAGGCGTCGACTTCTGGACTGGAGGCGCCGACTTCTGGAGTGGAGGCGCCGACTTCTGGACTGGAGGCGCCGACTTCTGGACTGGAGGCGCCGCCGACTTCTGGAGTGGAGGTGCCGCAGGAGGGGCCGCCAACTTCTGGAGTGGAGGCGGAGCCGCTGCAGACGGGACCGCTTCCCTGGCTGGTGCCGCCGGACTGTGCACTGACAACTGGACAGGCTGGCCCGGGGGCAGAGCCTCTTGGACAGGCTGGCCCGGGGACGGAGCCTCTTGGACCACCGCGGGACCTGGCGCTGACTGGACGGCTGGCGCGGGACCTGGCGCTCACTGGACGGGTGGCGCGGGACCTAGCGCTGACTGGACTGGTGGCACGGGACCTGGCGCAGACTGGACTGGTGGCGCGGGACCTGGCGCTGACTGGACTGGTGGCGCGGGACCTGGCGCAGACTGGACTGGTGGCGCAGGACCTGGTGGAGCCGGTAACTGGAAAAGCAGGGAGGTTAGATTGTCCACCAGGAGCTCCTGGAGACTGAAAATCTGACGGAGTCAGACCAGCTCAGCTCGGAGACCGGCGAGCTCTGTTGGATGGGCTGTGGGTTCGGTCCTTTGGCCTGGAGACGAGGGAGCTGCTGACTGGACCGGAGGCGGAGCCGCTGGCTGGACAGAAACCTTCTCCTGGAGATACGAGGAGGATAGGGTGTCCAGCTGAAACTCCTGGAGGCTGATGAGTTGACGGAGCCGGTCAAGCTCCACTTGGAGGCCGGCGAGCTCCGTCTGATGGGCTGTAGGCGTGGCCCCTCCGCACCTGGCGAGGGCAGGACCGGCGGTGACCGGAGGCAGAGCCGCTGCAGGGGTAGACTCGGCAGGTAGACGCTGGAGGAGACGTCGTCGACTTCTGGACTGGAGGAGACGTCGTCGACTTCTGGGCAGGTGGAGACGTCGTCGACTTCTGGGCTGGAGGAGACGTCGTCGACTTCTGGGCTGGAGGAGACGTCGTCGACTTCTGGGCTGGAGGAGACGTCGTTGACTTCTGGGCTGGAGGAGACGTCGCCGACCTCTGGGCTGGAGGAGGAGGAGTTGAACTCTGAGCTGGAGGAGGAGACGTTGACCCTTGGGCTGGAGGCGACGTCGACGTCTGGGCTGGAGGCATCGACGTCTGGTCTGGAAGCGTCGACCTCTGGGCTGGAGGCGTCGACCTCCGGGCTGGAGGCGTCGACTTCCGGGCTGGAGGCGTCGACTTCCGGGCTGGAGGCGTCGACTTCTGGACTGGAGGCGTCGACTTCTGGACTGGAGGCGTCGACTTCTGGACTGGAGGCGCCGCTGACTTCTGGAGTGGAGGCGCCGCAGGAGGGGCCACCAACTTCTGGAGTGGAGGTGGAGCCGCTGCAGACGGGACCGCTCCCCTGGCTGGTTCCGCCGGACTGTGCGCTGACAACTGGACAGGCTGGCCCGGGGGCGGAGACTCTTGGACAGGCTGGCCCGGGGGCGGAGACTCTTGGACCACCGCGGGACCTGGCGCTGACTGGACGGGTGGCGCGGAACCTGGCGCTGACTGGACGGGTGGCGCGGAACCTGGCGCTGACTGGACGGGTGGCGCGGGACCTGGCGCTGACTGGACGGGTGGCGCGGGACCTGGCGCTGACTGGACGGGTGGCACGGGACCTGGCGCTGAGTGGACGGGTGGCGCGGGACCTGGCGCTGACTGGACTGGTGGCGCGGGACCTGGCGCAGACAGGACTGGTGGCGCAGGACCTGGTGGAGCCGGTAACTGGAAAAGCAGGGAGGTTAGATTGTCCACCAGGAGCTCCTGGAGACTGAAAATCTGACGGAGTCGGACCAGCTCAGCTCGGAGACCGGCGAGCTCTGTTGGATGGGCTGTGGGCTCGGTCCTTTGGCCTGGAGACGTGGGAGCTGCTGACTGGACCGGAGGCGGGGCCGCTGGCTGGACAGAAACCTTCTCCTGGAGATACGAGGAGGATAGGGTGTCCAGCTGGAACTCCTGGAGGCTGATGAGTTGACGGAGCCGGTCAAGCTACACTTGGAGGCCGGCGAGCTTCGTCTGATGGGCTGTAGGCATGGTCCCTCCGCACCTGGCGAGGGCATGACCGGCGGTGACCGGAGGCAGAGCCACTGCAGGGGTAGACTCGGCAGGTAGAGACGCTGGAGGAGACGTAGTCGACTTCTGGGCTGGAGGAGACGTCGTCGACTTCTGGGCTGGTGGAGACGTCGTCGACTTCTGGGCTGGTGTAGACGTCGTCGACTTCTGGGCTGGAGGAGACGTCGTCGACTTCTGGGCTGGAGGAGACGTCGTCGACTTCTGGGCTGGAGGAGACGTCATCCACTTCTGGGCTGGAGGAGACGTCGTCGACTTCTGGGCTGGAGGAGACGTCGTCGACTTCTGGGCTGGAGGAGACGTCGTCGACTTCTGGGCTGGAGGAGACGTCGTCGACTTCTGGGCTGGAGGAGACGTCGTCGACTTCTGGGCTGGAGGAGACGTCGTCGACTTCTGGGCTGGAGGAGACGTCGTCGACTTCTGGGCTGGAGGAGACGTCGTCGACTTCTGGGCTGGAGGAGACG